GTTTCCTGTACGGGAGCAGATGGCCAGGTCTTTTCTCCTATGGAGCCTTTGGTAGGTTCCAACCACCAACCTTTCGGTTAGCAGCTGAGTGCTTAACCATCGCGCCACCAAGGCTCCTTCCTTTCTGGGTAGTTCCCAGCAAACAAGGAGAGTTAAAGTTGCAGCCAGCAGGATTGTAACGGATAACTTTATTAAATCATGGGAAATAAACACTTTGCAAAACTCCCCAGCCCTTTCCCTTTTTCGGAGGTGGTCGGTGTTTCTGGGCCTGGGGAGCGGAGTGCGTTCATGCTTGCGTTGGCACTGCCAGGCCAGCTGTAACCGGAATGTATACTCTCAGTCCCCACTTCTATATGTAGGCAAGGCAGAGGCACTACAATGCCCGCTTCATGTCTGTTTTCCCTCATTGTACAAATATGCCTCATAAATTACAGGCTGTGGCAGAGATAGCGGAGGTTGTGTTTATCTGTTATCCATGAGAGTGCCCCTTAATGTCATCAGTAGTTTTTTTCCCCTGTCCTTACCATATAAGGACAGAAGTCTAGCTTGGCCATAGTCACTTGGTCTTACACAGCAAGTTGGGCGAAACCCTCTCAGAACCACAGTTTGCGAGCAATAAAAAGGCCCGGCCTTTGATCGTTCCCTGCTGCACTCGCTGCCGGGCAAGGCTTGGGAAACATATTCGAGAGGATTGATTTTTAGGATATCCTATTATTCTCCCACCAGTATTTCTTCTTCGTAGTCCTAACTGGAATACTTTTTTTTTAAGTAAAAGTCATTGCTATTTTAAATTTGTTTGTATTGGCTGAAACATCTGGCTTTCATAAAAACGTAGGCCTTGTGAGATTTTTTTTTCCAGACCTGATTTGGAGTAGTATTTTGTTGTCGGGGCAGACAGCCTGCTGGTGTTCTCTGTCTATGTAGCCAGTGGCGTGTTGGGGGCGGCAGGAGTGGCGTGCAGGGACAGCAGAGGTGAGCGTTAACAAGACCTGCAGGAGGACCTCGGTAGCCGTTACTATACAGCAGTCACTTTTCTGGGCAGCTCATTACATGGTGGGACACAATAGCAGTTTTGAACTAAAAGAAACGAGCCCCCCAAATGGAAAGACTTAGCTGGCGTATCAACACATGGGCCGTTGTTAGAGGAAAGCTAACCCAGTCCATGAGGGGTGATTTACGTGCCTGGAAATAATTTGCATCTGGGGTCTTGATCCTCCCGTTGGTGTTTATATCTGCTTTCAGATAACAGGGGGTCATGTGGCTGTGAGCTTTTACTGACAGAGACTACTTAAGATGGCCCAGGTGCGTGATGCAGGAACTTCAGGATATAGCTAAATAAGCCTCGGAACTTAGAGAAAACATGGGAAACAGAAGCTGGTGAAGGTAAGAGAAGTGGGCCTTTTGAACACCGAGCATGATAAATCAGGAAAAAGAAAATAAAAAAGGTAAAAGTAAGAGAAAGAAATATCCTTAATTAAATTACGGCATTAAACATACTGTGAATTCTAGGGAACCATTCAGTTGAGATTAGACCAGTGTGATAGGGCCTGAGGAAACTGAGTCCAGGGTTTTTCCAGGGGAAGCTTCCTTAGAAAGAGATGTCCCAGACACCACTCTCAAGACCCAATTTTAACCTACAAGCACCTGTGCCCACCTGCTCTGCTACCTCCGGGGCGGCGGGCATTGACAAATGCTCAGTGTCCTTGCGTGAGCTCCCTGTTACCTGTTCATGTTATTTTATGGAGTGTCCCATTTTATACCCTGCCTTATTTCAGGAAGCATGGAGATGACTCGTGTAATGGATGGCATTCGATACTGTGGCCATTCTCCTGGACCCGGTGAGGCTCTGTCCCTAAGGCCTTTCCTTCAGTTGGAGGCTGGGGGAAGGGACGGTAATAGAGAACCCTCCCACTCTGACATCAGAAGAGAGAAAGTCCAGGGGTGAGAACCACCAGAGGCTTCTGTGATGTTCTAGAAGAAGTGAGGAGAGCCAGCACACTGGAGCCAAAACCCTTGGATTGTCTTCCTCTCTCCCACTGACGGGCTGTGTGACTGAGCGGACTTCAGTACTCTAGGCCCAAGACCCCTCCCTCTTCTTGTTAAGGACGAGCTAGATAACTGGTTCCCACAGGATTTGCCAGCTTCTTGGGGTGGGGGGTGGGGGGAGCGAGTTGCTTATTTATAGTGCAGATTCCAGCCCTCCCCACAGACCTCCTGAATCAGAACCTCCAGGGATGCGGCCTGGGCATTTGTATTTTTAATAAACATCTCCTAGTTGATTCTGGGAGCCCTGACGGCAAAGTGGTTAAGAGCTACAGCTGCCAACCAAAAGGTCAGCAGTTCAAATCTACCAGCCGCTCCATGGAAACCCTGTTGGGCAGTTCTGCTCTGTCCTATAGGGTTGCTGTGAGTCGAAATCGACTCTACGGCAATGGGTTTTGGGAGTGGAGTTGATTTGGATACCCAGCCGGTGGTAGGAACTGCTGATGTGAATGGTGACTGGGGACCCTTCCCATTCTGAGGACCTGGAGTGGCTCCCCAGCAAGGCCAGCTACCCCCAGTCTGCTCTCTGTGTGTGCCAGCCCTGCTTTGTGCCACAAATTGGCTCCTAGACGCACATCTCCATTTGGAATCAGTGCTCGGGTGCTGTGTACGAGGCCCTGCCAGCTGGTGCTCCTGTGGGACATAGCCCCTAAGGTCACGAAGTCTGAGCTTCTGCAACATGCATCTGTGGGAGAGGGTTGGGGACATTTATAAAACAGCGCTCTGCTGAGCACGGAGTCGAGCTGAAGGAAGGAAGGGTTAGAGTGCAGTGCAATGAAAGACAGATGGGTATTGGGGGGAGGCTTTTCAGGTAGGAGGAGCCCCTGAGCAGAGGCAAGAACAAAATGGGGTGCTGTCTCCTTACTCTCGGTGCCCTGAAGGTAGGTAGGAAGGTAGACCAGACTTTCATCTAAAGGGTTATTTCTCTGAGGCGTCAACAGTCTTCTCTCTGTGAGTACAAAGTCCTCAAGGTTTGCGCCCATATCTAAAGAACAGGGAACTGAGAACTTGGTGGCTACAGAAATGTTTCAGAAATGTTGTTGACCTTTCTTGACTGACCACAGCACCTGTAACAAGGATATTTGCCTTCATATCTTAAAGAAAATACTTTTGAGTGCTTGACCTAGACACTGTACAGAGTTTTGGTGTTTTTTGGTGGGAGTGCGGCTTATTTTTCTTCTGCTTATAAAGGATAAGAATTTTACTGGAAATGGAAAATAATGGAAAGTAACAAAATCTGACCCCAAATCCTACCCTTAATGTCTATGTCCTTCCACTTTTTTTAAAGAGAGCTAATGATTTTTAAAGATCGTTTGCCTGCACTTAAATTTGTTCTGCCTGTGGCCTTCGCCCCTCCTCACAAACAAACCGACAGGCAAAAACGGTTATCTGCCAGCCCAACCTGGCTCAGCCCAGTCACTAGCTGTGCGCTGATAATGATTTACTTTGTGGGGGGACACAGTTGTAAATTCTCCTCAGATTCATTTTATTTCACCATTTCCTCCTGGGCTCTCCCCCATGGAGCAATTACTACATAGTTACTTTTTGTCGAGATTAAAGTGTATTTAAATGCTCTTATAGAGTCCCTCACTGCAGTTGGAGATGCCCTCATCCCTTCTCTTCCCCAGATAAAACTGGCATTCAGAATGTTCCAAACCTGAATGTGCAGAGCTGAATGTTCCTCTGATTCAAGGACACAGTCACATAATCGCAGCCTCTCCCTAACTTCACGTGCACTTCAAACAGTGTGTGTTGAGTCCATGAGCCAAGAAAGTTGCTTTTGTGTAAATTAGGTTGGTTTTACTCACTTTGTTCAGTAGACACGTACTGAGCCTGTATTCTGTGCAGGGAACTGTGATTCCTTGTACTTAGGAAGCTTACAGTTGAGTTGAGAAGACGGAAGTGTATATAGAGAATGAGCGTGGGTCCCTAAGTGTGTATTGTAATGTTTAGAAAGCTCCCAAGTGTCCTGAAAACCTCACTGCCCCTGGATAAACATGGATGCAAAGTGGATGAGGATGAGGAAATGGTCGCTGATTACTGAATTCCATCTTCCCACTTCTGTGCATAATATTTAGAAGGCCTCCGGTCCAAGTTTGTATAGTGGACTGTCACACCCTCACAAGTGTTTGAGGCTCAGGGAAACAGATGTTTACAGCGGTAGGTAATCACTGCGTCCCCAAGAAAGAAACATCCTATTTCAGAGTTAGATGCCAAATGAAAAGTTGTATCTGTGTCGCTTTTCTGCTTAGGAGCTTGATATTCTTCTTGTAGCAACCTTGACTTGTAAGAAATTACATTGAACTTACGTCAAAAACCCTTGGGAGATTTGTCTTGGCCCTGTTCTCGTGTGACCAGTTATTCTAAAAGAGGAACTCGGGGCGAAGAATGGGGAAAGTTTGGTAGATTTTGTTGTCTCTCTGTGGTGTCTGTTTGAGAACCAGTGGATTTTAAAATGTCTCAGTTCGTTTGTAAGGCTCTTTTGAGAAAGCGGCCAGGACAAGGGAAAATGAGACCCCTAAGTCGGATTGGTGGCTGTGCTGCTCTTGTCTATATGGCTGAGCCCTGGGTGAGTCTTGTGCTGTCTGTCTACACCCCAGGCCAGCACAAGTGAGGTGGCTGTAATTGAAGCTGTCCTTCAGCAGGTAGAGTCAGGGTGTTGAAATCTAGAAGAAAGGAGCCAAGTGAGAGCATTTGCTAACTAGCGTGGTCCATCTGCCCGATGAGAATTGTGTCTGTGGGTTTGTCGATACACGCGTATGGACGTGCGCTCTATAAGTCACCGTGTGAGTGTCTGAAAACTCCGAGGTTGATGAGGGCCTGCGGTGCACTTAGAGCTAGCTCATGCCAAGGCCCAGGCTGCTGTCTGAAGTCCTGCGCTGCGGTCTCAGCCGCTTCCTGAAGGCACCACCCTCACTTTCTCTCCAACTCTGAAATGGCTTTCACTCTCTGCCTAGGCTGAAGCCGATGTAGCATCTCTGAACAGACGCATCCAGCTGGTTGAGGAAGAGTTGGATCGTGCGCAGGAGCGTCTGGCCACGGCTTTGCAGAAGCTGGAGGAGGCCGAGAAGGCAGCGGACGAGAGTGAGAGGTGAGGACGCGCCGTCCGGCCTGTCTCTCAGCTCAGGCCTTTCTTCCCGGTGGAGCAGGAGGGCTTCTCTGACTTCCGGGGTCTGAGAATTTCACGGTCCTTTGGTGGAATCATTTCCTCAGTTGATTCCAGGTATGGACGTTGTTGGTTTTGCTTGTTTAACATTAGTGGAACATCTACTGTGTGCAAAGCACTTTTTTAAGCCCCAAGGTTATGAAGAAAAGAAAGATCCTGTTCTACCCTCACAGAGCTCACCATCCAGTGAGGGAGATGACGTGTAAACAGAAAATTCCAGGGGTGCACATTGGTTTTCTCAATTCTGCTGACCACAGAGCAATTCTGCATTAAAAAAAATTATATATACGTATGTACATACATGTAGGCCTAGATAAATGAGTTATGGGCCGCCAGTTGTTGAATAACCTAACAAATAGGTAGAAGAAAAAGCACAGATGAAGCAGAAATAACGATTTGCAAAAGCAAATTGTTTGGGACTTAATGCAGGTAAGACACGCACACACATGCACACACACACAAATACTGTCAGGTACTTGTGTCTTCTGAGCCCACCCCCACTGTAACCTGGCTCTACCGGAATTATTGCTGCACGATTGAGCTTCGTGATGGTAAAGGGAGCCCACGGTTTAGACAGACCAGCACAACGTCTTGCATTCTAGAAGGCATTTTCTCTTATACTCAGCTGTTCACGTGAACGAGATTGCCATATTGCACAGAAACGTTCCAAGAAAGGCTCCATGAGACCAGAGAGGGGACTGCTGCTTGAGGGATGACACAGAATTCAGAACCCTGAACTTGTCTCTGCCTGTGCCGGGACCAGAGCAGGCACACGCAGTTGACCGTTCTGTGCATTTCTTCATCTGTTCCCACGTATACCGTTCAGGCCTTAGGGTTAAAGGAGCTATTTAGCTAAAGTGTTCAGCTCACCATTCACTGCTGCTCGTTGTTTCTTCTCTAACCCAGAGTTTTGGGATTCTTTAAGATGACTGGTCATTTCTTACAGCAACAGTGCTTTTATGGCTGACTCCTTCCTGAAATACACTTGTTAGCAAACCTTAAAGGCAGACTGTTAGTGTTACATTTTTGGAGTAAAAAGGAATTTAGAAATCATTTAGGCCAAATCCCTGGTTTGGCAAGCGAGAAACCAGGGCTCAGAGACTGAAGTGGCTTGCCCAAAGTCTCCCAGCTAGTTTGTAGCCCAGCCAAGACTAGAACTCAGGTCTCCTAGAATATATTCTAGTGCTTCATCAAAAAATCGTGGTTTACTTATCTTACTGCCGACTTACACTTTGGTAAATGAGTCCCATTTTAACATTACTTGTTATTCCACAAATCTTATTACAGGTCACTTAACATTTTCTAGAGCGTAACACCAATGCAGGAGGACCCTAATATACACGTCAGCTTAGAAGATGCTAACAGTCCTGTCTCCCAACACCTGTATTATCAAGGATTCCATTAAGGGCAAAACACAGTTGCTTATCTAAAGTATCAGGTTGAGCTATATGAAACTGCCATTTGTACAGATCTGAAATGGTCAGATGTCAGCAGTTTCATATGGTTCGATCTCATATTTTTGTGGCTGAAGGAAAAGAGGGACATGAAGACAGATTGGCTTTTGTTCTAGTTTTAGTCCATTTTCAAGCTGAAGCTCCCCACCAGGAAGGGGAAGAAATCACTGTATTTGTTTAGCAAGCAGAGTGTGCTGGCTTTTCCTGTATCCATGCCTCCCAGATTCGGATGGGGTGCTAACGTGCTACCCTTCATTTTGGGATTAGATGCATCAGTACCCAAACTGAGATGTCATTCACAATGAACAGAGGGAAGTGTGTGTCTTTTTTCTGCCCCTAGCTCCGGAAAGTCTTGCTTCATGATTTGGAAAATAAAAGTAGCTCTGTGCTCTATCTTGGTCTGCCGTCCCTCGGAACCTCGCATACCACAGTGATGCAGCGTGAGTTTGGGGAGTTCAGCTCTAAATCATGGGTTTTCCCACTTGCCCTTCTTTTCAGAGGCATGAAAGTCATTGAGAGTCGAGCCCAAAAAGATGAGGAAAAAATGGAAATTCAGGAGATCCAACTTAAAGAGGCCAAGCACATCGCTGAGGATGCCGACCGCAAGTACGAAGAGGTTAGTTTCTGGGTCCCAGCGCCTCACAGATGCCCCAGCAGTGGCCTTGAGGCGGCCAGGGAGCAGCATGCACTGCGAGAAGCGATCTGCTTCCATGGAAGGAATGGGTGGCTGTGAGAAGCAGGGTTCCTTTGCCTCCAGGAAGCAGTTTTTATTTGATCCTGCTAGGGGATCCCAGAGTTGAATGAAGCCAGTCTGTAGCACTGGGAAAGACCAAAGCTTTTTCCCCCCCCCAAAGAGGCAGGACAAACAACCTTTCGCCAGGAGATGGGGGAGGTGGGACCCTGGTGTCTGGTGGAAGGATCTTCTCGCCCTGTCACCGTGCAGTGGCTCTTCCTGTGTGATTCAGCGAGCAACGGTCCCGTTCATGCCGTTCTTGGGTAGATTCAAGGAGACCATTTTCTGTCTGTCCTTCTCTCCTTCAAGGGTGGTAGAATACCATCATGAACACAGGTTGACAGGTGGATCAGCTCCTGGTCTTGTCACCATCAAAACAACCTCCTGTGGGATCAGAGCCAATGTGACTGTTAAGGCTTTGGTTATTCCTTTATTGTATCAAGTCATGGCTACCCTGGAGGCATCGACCCTCCATTGTCATCATCATTAACTCCACATTGCAGTATTCCCCCTCATTTTGAACTGCTTCAGAGGGTCACTTCTTTTCTTAGGTTCTTCCTTCCACGGAACACAAATTTGACTCCATTTGTCACCTCACCCACTTATACCAGCTGTGTTTGCTCTGTCAGCGTTCTTCACCTCCTCCACAGAAAGGAGGCTGAGGAACAGATCTCTAAGTTGATGGAGCTTTTCTTAGGATTATTTTCAGCAGCTTCTCAGTTGTGCCCACCTTATCCGCTTCAAGTGCACCGTGTCTCATGCGGCTGTTTTGGAGATGGTGGGTTTCCTATCTCTCCCTCCGTCCACGCTTTGGTCTGGCTGCTATGGAATTACAGACTTAACCTGGGTCAGTCGGACTTAAAATCGAGACTGCCCAGTCATGACTGACCATTCCGGCTCTTTAGGAGTGGAAGCCTCTGCTTTCCTTTCTGCTGGCAACTCCTAATGGGGCATTGCCTTCTCCAGTCTACGGGAAAGAGAGTCCTCTTCAAGAACCCACAGGGGCTACGGACTCGGTCCGCACCTTTCACCACCACTCCCAAAGCTTACAAGCCCCATGGCGTGTGTCTTGTGTTTGTCCTGCTGCAGGTGGCCCGTAAGCTGGTCATCATTGAGAGTGACCTGGAGCGCGCAGAGGAGAGGGCTGAGCTCTCGGAAGGGTAAGTTGCCAGCATCAGGAGGCTGCGTGTGGGCAGCTGCAAAGCAGTGACTAAACAGCATGACCGTCTGGCAGCTGCACATGTACCGGTTTCAGCTCCGGGCTCCTCCTGTGCTCATTTGACTCGGATGAGCCACGAGATGGAACACAGAGGACTTGTGTGGGGTGTCTGTATGTGAATGTGTGCATCACTGCATGCCTGACCTGCACACTGATTTTGTGAATGGCCTTGTGCATTTCCTGTGTCCACTAACAGCCAAGTTCGACAGCTGGAAGAACAATTAAGAATAATGGATCAGACCTTGAAAGCATTAATGGCTGCAGAGGATAAGGTACTGATGGCTCGTGTGGTTTTCAGGTTTAACTGCAACCCTGGCGTCTCTCAGCTTCCAATGTCTGCTAGTCCGTATAACGACCGTGCCTCCACTGCGCCCTCTGCTGTCGTACATCCTGCCTGAAGAGCTTTCTTTTGGTCCTTTATGCTCCTTTGTTTTTTCCTTCACAAAAGCTCTCTGGTGCAGCCGTAAAAGAAGCCAAATTATCACACTTCAGAGTTGTTGGATTCCGTCACCCGGCCTTTCTGCTGTTGCACGGCTGGGGGACAGGGTCCGTGCGACATTGAGCACGTTATAATACCTGGTGATTTGGCTACTTGAAGGCAGCCGTTCGTCTCTAGGACTCGGTTTTCATTTTTTCCCACCCTTCTCCTTTTTCTCTCCTCCTCCCTTGGGCCTGTCTCCCATCCTTTCTGCCTCTGATCGAAAACATTAGCAAATGTGCCGAGCTTGAAGAAGAATTGAAAACTGTGACCAACAATCTGAAGTCGCTGGAGGCCCAGGCCGAGAAGGTAGGCCAGGAGCATGGTGTGGGGACAAAAGGCATCTTTTAAAAGCTGCTCAGAAGGCTGCTTTTTCTCTTCTAAGGCCTTGCTGATGAGAGCAACAGTCCAGGAGGCATTTTGGTAAATGGCAACCTTTTGAGGTGATTTCCTGATGGTCGTTAGATAACGGATTCTTTTTTTTCTCTTTTTAAACAGAGAATGTGTTTTATGTTGGGTATGTGAGTCGTCTGCAACAATTTAATTTCGACCAAATGCCAAATGGATACGTTACCTTGTTCCTCTCCCGTGTAAAACAATAGACAAGAAAACAGAGAACGTATTATAGCCACTTAATATCGGAGGTTTCTTCACCTCCTAAGCGGCCTTGAACATCTGTTGGCTGGGCTGGCGCTTTCTCTGTATGAGAAGACATGAGTATAGAGTGAGCGGCGGCCTGACATCTGGAATGCTTTTTCTAATTACAGTACTCGCAGAAGGAAGACAAGTATGAGGAAGAGATCAAGGTCCTTTCTGACAAGCTGAAGGAGGTAATATGAGAGTGTTTTGGAGACGAAGTCAGCTGCGTTTCAAATGAGTTTGTTTTGATGGAGATGGTCAGAGCTTCTTGTTTTAAAGTTGAGCTGATCCAAGTCAAGACTCTTCAAAGCTTGGCTTAGAGTTAGTGTTGCACGCCAGCTGCCATCTGTCACAGTCCCCTTTGATAGGCGCTGTGCTTGGTTTTCATTCTCTAATTTTCCCTAATACTTGTAAAGCAATCAAAAAGCAAAACAGTTAATTTTCAGTTGATTCTGACTCATGGTGACCCCATGTGTGTCAGAGTAGAATTGTGCTCCATAGGGTTTTCAGTGACTGATTTTTCAGAAGTAGATTGCAGGTCTTTCTTCCAAGGTGCCTCTGGGTGGACTTGAACCTCCAACCTTTCAGTTAGCAGCCAAGTGCCCAGGGACTCTCCCTATACTTGTGGATACTGGGCATTTAAAACGTCCCAATTTTGACTCAAATAAATGAAATCGTTACAGGCTGAGACTCGGGCCGAGTTTGCAGAGAGGTCAGTAACTAAGCTGGAGAAAAGCATTGATGACTTAGAAGGTAAGATCTTAAGTTTTGTTTTTAGTTTAATCCATATGGTTGAATATCGATCGACCTGACAAAATGATTTGGTACTCCAAGTGCACCTCCGATGATGTGCTTCTTCGCTCTTGCACATTCCTCCTGCCTGTCCTCTGGGGTTTTCTCGCTGTGGCTCTCAACCTCTTGGACCCAAGTCCTCTGCTCACCAGGTGACAGTCAGCCACCAGATGGGGCAGATGCCATCCAGCTTTACTTCCTGCTCTGCAGAAGTGTGGCAGGCTCGTCTTCATTGTGAGCAAGGTGGTTGTAGGCGAGAGGGACTCGTCTTTAGTGATCTCTCCCGGTTGTCAGAATGGTGTGGACTTGTTTTTAGACACACTCCATCTTATTCCATGTATCAAGTCTGAGTCATTATCTTAGCAAAATGCTCTGTGTCCTGAAGGGAGGAGATGGTCAGTAGGGCATCGTGTTTTGAGATTATGCTTACACATTTCACGCCGAAGACATTTCGGTTTTATTTTGGCAACACCCACTCTGCCTCACAGAAATCGTAAATGTTGAGCTCTGGGGCTTGTAAAGGGTCCCTGTGAAAAAGAAAAAATACGTATAACATACACACCGTAGGCAGAAGGGGCTAGAGAATGGACTGGTGCAAACAGATAATCAAAATAGCAGAGAAGAGAGAATGACAAATGTTTGCAGAACAGTCTGCCAAAACAGCGAAATATGAAACCTTCGTCACTGCGAAAAGCAAAAAGCAGGCGTGCTACAGCGACACCATGAAAAGCGTGGTTTTTATGCCTCCTTGAACCAGTGACGGGCAGCTTGGGCGAGACGAGCACAAGGAGTAGTTTAAGTGAAAGTAAGAAATGGATTCGCAGAGGGCTAGTTCGTTCAGGGAGTCCGCGGTTTGAAGGTAGAGCCAGATAAGGATTACAGATTACAAATTGTTCTTCCGAAGTACTGCGCTTGGAGGTACTTTGCCACTGTTTATAGCTGCAGGTGGCTGACGACTCTGGTGTGATTAAAAGACAGCTCTATAAAAGAGAGATGTTCCATCACCTGGCTAGGAGGCAGCCTTCTGCGGTTTTGTTTCGGGTTTACCATGGCTCACTGATACGCCTACCATGTTTGTTATGATTTTCATATTGAGTCTTTCTTATTTTATTTTCTAATGGGTTTTGTTCTTTTCTTTTTGTTTCGATTTATTTTAAAAACAAAACGCACGCCTCCTGCATTGGCCACCTGCTGCGGCACCAATTCCTTCATGCATTGCCCTTTTCTTGCTGCTGTGTCGGGATGGTATCCGTGCCACCCTCACTCACCCTCCATCTGTCCGTCACTCTCCATGTCCTTGCACCTCTGCCTCCCACTTCCTGGCCATAGACGAGCTGTACGCTCAGAAACTGAAGTACAAAGCCATCAGCGAGGAGCTGGACCACGCTCTCAACGATATGACTTCCATGTAAATGTTTATCCGCCCTGCCCGCTCACACCGTGCCCGCATGCTCACACGAGAAACTCAGCCACTGCTGCCCCTCTGCCTCCATAGTCTCCGTCTGTACCCCTGTCTGTCCTCCTCTCATCATCCTAACATAGTCAGGGCCGTTCACATCCTACTCGTGTGAAGACCAAGTAGATTAAACCTGCCTGTACAGGTCATTTTCCTTTCAGAGTCTGTTGATTTTATAACCTCTGAGCGAGATTGTTCCCGCCCAGCAATGAACTGGAATATGAATGACCTTGAGCACTGTCCTTTTTAGGAAATTAAACTAGGCTCAAATAAAATTAGAAGGTGGCACATCTGTGTAGGAATTTCCCAAGAAATATCAAAACTGGTTTCCTGAGGTTCATTAAATATAATGTGATCATTTTCGTAAAAGAAAGAAAAATTTACGGAAACCGTAAAGGGTCAGGCTACTGAGGACCTGCGCAAAAGGCAGTAGGAATGAGCCAACACAGCCTGAAGTTTAGTGCTGTAAAAGACCTCTTCCTTCCTTCTAAGAATTCTAGAGAGAAATGAACCCTCTCCTGGGTAACCAAACCTTTAATTTTCTGTGTTCGTGTAATAGAAATTAAGATGCCCACATAAACACTCACGACAACCCAGGTCAAAGAAACGGGAAATAAAACACAGAGTATACAGACCGATCAATTTTGGAGTTAATGGTCCAGGTTTTACTACTGTGGGGCAGTAGGATTTGGAGTAGATGTTTTCATTTTCATACACACCTAACTTACATATTACTAACCAAATGGAAGCCTTGAGCTTATTCTGCCTCTTTAAATTCTAACCTGGAATGTTCCCTAGAGGGTTAGTCCTTCTCACACTATCTCGCTGAACTCCACTGAAGCCGGAAATTCCTTGTCCAGGCCCACCTGTCATCCCTCTAGCCCTGCAGAAAAATGGCAGCTTGGCAAGTGTGGTATGTGCCTGCTGCTTTGGAGCTTGCAGGGGCTCCAGCCTTAAAAAGAAAAGTCCCCTCGGAGACATGGCTGTCACCACAGAAACTATCCACCTTCTCTTACCTCGTTTGTAAATGAGGGGTGGGTCAGATCACCTGTCTCCAAGGCCTTTCCCAGTGCTAAAGAAGAGCCCATTCTATGAGAAAACCCTGCGCAGCTAGTATGATGAAATATTCTGAAAAGTGGGCTTAGCTTAAAATGTGTTTTTAAATTCTGCTCATCGGTCATCTTAGAATGGACCTGGACCCAAAGGGGCTGTGAGGGCCTCCAGTGCGGACGTGGTGGGCGAGGCTAGCCACCTGCCCCCGGGTGCAGACGCTGGTGGTGTTTGCATGCGTGCTCCTCACCTGGGTTTCAAGCACTGCCCTCCTGTGTGCTTTTCATTTCTCTTTCCGTTGTGCCACTGTTTTCTTTTTCTCCCACCTTTTATCTTCTTTCAGATAAGTTTCTTTGCTTCACTTCTCCCGAGACTCCTTCATCAAGCTGGCTGCTCCGCCTCTCTGAGCTCTGCAGTTTTTCTCTTCTCCAGCTGACCCTGGCCCTTTCTCTTAGCGTCCTGCCTTAGGGCCGGGCGCGCACTGTGCCGTCCGTTGTACAGACGCTCTTCATTCAGTGTAAAATAAACACCGTGGAAGCTGTTTCTGTTTGCTCTTCTTTTTACTTCTTATTTATTGACATTTTAGTTTCAACACTGAATAAAGCCGTAAATCTGCTTCACGCCTGGAAAGGGTTCATTTTTGGCGGCTGCTTTTTCTCCCCCCCTTCTCATTGTGAAGACTGTCAAGAGTGCAAAATCAGGAGTTTCTAAAGCAGTCCTTCCTCGTGAAACTTACAAGAAATAGCTATGCCCCAGCCCCCTCTCAGAGTTCTGGTCTCCAAGGTCAGAGTGAGCCCAGGCATCAGTGTTTTGGGGGTCACGTGGTTCTGGTATGCAGGCCGGGCTGAGAACTACTGCAGGGGACCTCGCTTATTGGGCTCAGAAGACTGACTTGAGCAGGGTCTTCCCTGTGCCAGAGGTTTCGTTTGGGGTGTGGGGGCCCCTCTGTGTTGATAGTTAGATGACCCTGTTTGGGCATCAGAGAATGTGACTAACTCATGAGAGACTCGTGACGCCTGGCTTCAGAGCCACCCCATGTTGTCAGGGACTTAGGTACTGAGAAAAGTGGGAAAGAACTTTGATGCAGACAGTTGAACTCCTGAGCATCCTTTTACAGCACAAAGAAGAGTTAAAGTTTTTTAAAAGTATACTCATTATTCAGCCACCTTCACTTTGATGGTGATGGTGAAATCTTAGGTTTTCTGGATATGATACCTGTGCTCAAGAGCATCATGTAGTCTTTGGGAGGGATTGTACAGACGTAACGTTTACTAGGCGTTTTCTTCATTTGTGGAAAATGTTCAAGCATAGCCATTAAAGTTGATTCTGATTGTTCTGTTTTTCCTAAAAAGTAGTTGGTTGAAATTGTTCCGAATAGCTTATTTTGTTTGGGCTTAACCTATTTCACTTCACAAGCAGCAATGAAGTGATTGTTTTCTTTTCTTTCCAAAGCACACATTGCAAAATTAGAACGTGAAAATAACGTGACTCCTGTTTCTTCATTCCTAACATTTCTCTGCCCTCGACAGTCTGCCTGTATTTCTCCTGTTTTAAATGTGGGTCATCTTTATTTGTTTTGTGTGTAGTTTGTGTTAATCCAAGAGGGCTGGTGTACCAGTACACTCAAATCAATTTGGACAAACTCTGAAAATAGTGTCAACCACTCTGCAAAGACTTCAGAGCAGAGAGAAAATATTTTTCATACAAGAGCTGTGAATTAAAGTATTTTAGTAGCGAGGTAGTAGATTTTTCAAAATCTAGGATCTGGACAGAGCCTCCCTTGAGAGGATAAGGATTCCTGTACTGCCACGCTTCTCTGGTGCCAGCTTCTGACCGTGACCCCTGCCTTGTTCTTTTTTAAATTCAGAGTAGTAGCAGTGTGCCCTTCTCTGAGTAATCCTGCATCCTGCCGTAGACAAAACAAGTCAGAAAGTTCTGCTGAGCACACGTTCAGATAATTCTAGAGGCACACTTGTTTTGTGGAAACCCTTCCTGAGACTTTCACATGTTCTGTAAGTCCGCTGGACCAGGAGAAATGGGAAACTAATGGATTGGGAAGGCAGGCCTGGGGCAGCCCAGGAACGTGTGGGCAGACAAGAGGATAAACTAGCAGGTTGAGTTTACCAAGAAATTACTGTAGCCCAGGCTTCTAGTTCACAGGGCCAGGCTGTAGCTGCAGCTGCCGCAGGAGCCTCAGTTGGACCAAACCAAAAGCATTGCTGAGTCTGAGCACTAGGGGCCCAGAGATCTGGGGGATGGAAGAGGAGGGGATAATGCTTCCAAATGCATAAACACACCTGATCTCGGCCGCCCAGGCAGATCATCTCCATGGCAACTGAAGCAGAGCAGGTCCAAAGCAGGCTGTGATAGGGACAGCTGTCATTTAAGCTGAATTCATACAGACCCTCTAGATTCTCTAGGGTTTCTTCAGAGTTCTTCCATTTCATCTTGGCCAAACATGGCCCAGCAAACTGAGACAGCCTGCCAGCCCCTCTGTAGCTCCCAGCAGTGTGTGAGTGTAGTAGTGGGGTTTACATTTTACAGCCCCAAAGTATGTGACATATGGAGGACACTGTGGAAGGTGGTGGGAAGGTGGTAGAGATGAGCCCAGAATGGTCTTTGCCTTCCATGAGCTGACCATCTTGTGGGAAGATAGATGAGGGAAGCCAGTCTGAACTAAGAGACAGTGTTCAAGTATAGCCAACAAGGAAGAGAGTAATTCTGACCGGGAACTTCTGGAGGAGGTGACTTTTGAGCAGAGTTTTGAATATTCAGAAAATTTGGATGAGCAAAGACGACAAGGCAAAGGATCTTCCAGGCTAGAAAGCATAATGAACATAGATGGCGTCTCTCTCATATCCCATCATTGATGGAAGAAAGTTAAAATGAGAATGGCCCAACTTCCCAGTAGTCCTGGGGACGAGGGACTAGACATTTTCCCCAGGAATAGGATTGCCAGCTTCTAAAGATCATTACGTAGAATTTCCGGGCGCAGGTCATCACCATGGACCCTAACATGTTTCAAAGCAATCATGCCTCCTCCAGCTTTTCATGGTTGGTACCTGGTTCTTGCAATTTTTTGGGTGTCAATTGTAGTATCGTATAAAGACTGATTCTTGCTGTGGTTGGCTTACTTGCCATGTAAGCAGATTCCATGTTAATAAATACAGTTTGTATTGCACCAGTCTCCCTGCAAATGTTGCAGATTTTGCCCATTTTATACGCATCCATCTAGTAAGTAAACATGAGTGTCATCCTCCTTTAAAAAAAAAAAGAAGAAAGGTAAAGTCTAACTCGGTCTTGAGTGGCGATACATACGGCTTTGCGGCTTGAGTCGGGTAACACACGCTGTGTGTCCTAGCTGGATGAGCGTTCAGAATTTGCACCTGTATCACAGTGACTGGGGGGAAGGCCAAGGAGCTTAGTTCTGCTACTTCCTCCTTTCGAAAGAAGGCCCATGCTTTCCACTTCCCAGGTGGTTTGCTGTAACCAGGGAGACTTTTCTGAGACCACGGGACGGGGTTCAGGATGCCTGGCAGCCCTTCATACGCCAGCTGTTGTTGACAAGTCTTTTTTCCCTGTGATCCCAGATTCGAGTCTCACTCCGTTGGTGGCACTTTTTGTTTTTGTTTGGTTTTTTCAGTTAACAGGGTGATTGACCACAGCTCAAGGTTGAGTCAAGATCCTGCCTTTTATGCTTTTTAGCTGTTAAAAAATTTTTTTGAAACCAGCATCTCGTAGTCATCTGCCAGATTTTGCCCTGCACCTCGCTGGTGTGCCTGTACTTAATAGGGGCTTCTGCAGAAATCTAAACATCAAAAGCAGAGCTGTCTGCATATGTCATCATTCCAGAAATGCAAGCACACAATTTCCTCTGCAAACAGGGCCTGTTGCCGTGATGCAGAGCCCATGATTTGACATCATTTTTAACGAACACAGCATCTCTTAGGGAAATCAAAGAAGCCAGTTGCTTCCAAACTTACCTGAAATGCCATCATTATTTTCCAGTAATCACTTTTATGAGTAATTCAGTCTTGCCAGGAGCAGGCCAGCTTCACGTGTAGAACCCACTAATGGCCATTTCACTTCCTGACTCATTTTTAAAATTTTCCCTGATACTTAGATTCTGTTGAAGCAGGGCTTCGTTCCTTGTTGAAGTGTAGATTCTGATTCAGTGTATCTGAGATGGAAATGTGCATTCTCAGCAGGGGGTCGAACTGGAATGAACCGGTTCGAAGCCCTGTATTGCAGTGACTTCAGCATTTCACGACATTTAATTCAGCATGAGTAGCCCCCTCTTGGTGCTCTCTGAAGGAAAGCCTGCCCCTGTGAATGGAGATAAAAGGGGCTCTGGGAAGAGGTAGGCAGAAACGGAGGGTTGGACCCTCTCAGTAAGATCTCCACTGAGTCCTAGTCAGAAGGGGACGGACCTGCAGGCTCGCCCCCAGCTCTTGCCTCAGGTCCCGAGACTGGCCAGAAACTGCATTCGGCTCACTCCACAAAGTGGTTCTCTGGTGGGGTACGAGAACATTCACTGTCTCCTTCTCGTACCCTATTGCTCCTTTTTTTTCCCCTCCCCACCGAGAGGGAAAACACCGACCCTTCCTAAGTCCACTAGGCCTTTTACCGTTCATCCTCCCTGGACATGGGACAGATGGCCGTGGGGTAGGGGTAAACTGCTCGTCAGTGACTGGCAGCTGTGCGGCCTGAGGAATCTGTGCTCTGTCTGTTGACTCCTTCTCACGACTCTGGCTAACCTCTGTCCTTCTGCCTCTTCTTTTCTGCTAACCTGCTTGCTGACCTGTGCAGACCAGCTCTACCAGCAACTTGAGCAAAACCGCCGTCTAACTAACGAACTAAAGCTGGCCCTGAATGAGGACTAAGCTTAAGGGTGAATGAACTTGGGCTGAGTGCTAGGAATGGCACCCGTGGGCAGGACATCTAAGATCGCCATCCCTTCAACTCAGAGGGCAGAAAACAGTGGCTTTCTGCAGCAACGTAAACGAAAGGAATCGGCCAAAAGGCTGGCCTTGCCTGCATATTCCCCTTTACCCCTGGAATACTTAAGTTCTCTCGAATCCCAAAACAGCTTTATGCTAAAATGCATATATTATGTATGCAGTTACATATTTAGAGCAATCAGTTCAGCACTTCACTTTGCAAAAGCAGGCCCTCTTGTTTGAACTGATACGTAATGAGGACTATAAAAAACGTATTCCGTTTCCCAGAGAACCATGAGTCCTGCTTTGAGTTCAGAAGGCCACAGCTGAGGGAGTGTATATATGTGTGTTCATCTTCCATATTGATATCTTCTCAATATCTGGTAAACTGTCTGAAACGTGATTAAATATACCTATGCTTGGGCAAATAGCTTTTGAAAACTGGAGCTCATGTCAGAAGTCCTGGTTGTCTGAAAGGTATGCATTGTTCAGTCTAACGATGTTGGAATCTGGTTGAAATGTCATGCTGATGATACATAGAACACTCTAAGAATATTAAGAGAATGTCCTAATGAAATGTGCATGAAACGTGTTCATAACCAATTTTTTTTTGAATGAGCAACAAATAAATCATTTGAAAAGTGGTCAGAAACCCTCGTCCCATCACCCTTGTTTTCTGTGGCGCTGTGTTCCAGCACAACGCCCAGGACCTGAAACTGCCTGTAACTCAGCTGTGTGCTGTCATTAACGTGCCCCGTGTGCATAACGGTGCTGTGAGCTGTATCTCCCTGCCACCTCTCCCCGTTCCCACGGCACCCAGGCAGTGAGCCCGCACCGAGTGCCGCCTGCATTTCTTCGCAGAACGCCTGCTCACGAGGGTGCACCTGACCGCTCTGTGAGAGCCTGCTGTGCCCGTGGTTTCCTTTGGGTCAGAGGCATCTGCCCCCGTCCTGGGTCCTTGTCTGGAAATGAGTCATGTCCTATGAGCATGCCCAGCCCCATTGTACCATCCTGTGTTGTGATTGCCGTTTGCCTGCCTAAATGTATAGACCACCATTGTGTCCAAGCGCAGCTATTCATGACGGAATTTTCTAATCCCACCACAGAGAAAGTGGCTCATGCCAAAGAAGAAAACCTTAGTATGCATCAGATGCTGGATCAGACTTTACTGGAGTTAAACAACATGTGAAAACCTCCTTAGCTGCGACCACATTCTTTCGTTTTTGTTTCTGTTGTTCTTTGTTTCGTTTTGTTTTCAAAGCACCTGCTTGCCATGAAACCCCGTCAATGCATTTTTACCTGCCTTTACCACTGTCACAGAAACATCCGCCATACCAGCTACGTCGGGGGGGGGGCGACACACAGCAGAAGGCAAGCCCACGTCAGGGCGCCCATGATTTAAACGTGCCATTTCCCGGGTTGACGTTGCCACACTGTGCAAAGAGTTGAGCAACACGGTATGCTTAGTCAGTCTAGGAGTCCTCACTGAAGCAGAAAGACTTCCACTCAAAGTGCCAACGGTATGGTCAGCAAGAAGGTTAACGTTGGAAACAGGGCTGCTGGATCGGTGCTACTTTAAACAAAAGGTCCCCCGATGGCCTTTTGTTCAATAGTGTGCAATTTAGAAGTCTGTCCAACACTAATTTATTTTGCCTTGAGCTTTACTGCGAGATGAGACTGTGGATCCTTATGCCCGAATTCACCAAAGCCAAGGGTTTATAAGCCAAGCGGCTCTTAAGAGTCCCGTTTCTTTCTCATTGGCACACGTGCAGCTCGTGACCAAGTGTAGGCTAGCATTCCATGTGGATTTCCACTGCAGTGCTCCATGTTCAAGTGAAAGATTAAGGCACTACATACAGTTGGTGAAGAAAAAGAAAACCTTTCTCCAAGAGTTATAACTATATGTAAACAGTGTATAATGATATGGAATAAAATGCACATTGTAGGACATTTTCTACATTTGGTGGTCCTGTCATTTGTATGGTTTTGTTTTGTGAACTTGAATTGTGCGATTGACCTCCCTTCTCCCACGAATGGCTTCTTAAAACAGAACATCCCACAGTCCAGGAGAAAACTGGGTTTCAAGTGTTATCCCCCAGAAGCCCTAAAGGTGGCACCACATTGGCCTGTTAATTTAAAGTTATAACGATGCGGGAAAGACCCTTTCCCAAAGTCGTTTTTCATGTTATTGGTATATATCTACACGTACGTATATGCCTTTTACAGTGTCTCTTAGGAACCCTAGTAGCACAAAGGTTAAGCTCTCAGCTGCTAACCAAAAGGTTGGTGGTTCGAACCCACCCAGTGACTCCGCGGGAGAAAGGCCTGGCGCTCCGCTTCCGTAAAAATTACAGCTAGAAAGCCCTATGGGGCTGTTCTACTCTGTTACACGGGGCCACTATGAGTCAAAAATTGGCTGGACAACACCTAACAACAATCCGGTGGTTTTACTGGATTTGGGATTTTTCCTCAAATTTTAGCTAAGTCTTTAGCAGAAGCATACACACACATCAACAAATTGTGAGTTAATACACCAAATCTGCTGCTGCCTCCCCCCCCCCCAACCGGCAATGTGATTCTACTTAAAAGCCTTCCTTTAAAGGGTCTTTGTGATTTTTCTGCTTTCTAACTCGTATGGATTCTAAATTCCAACACATCTTCATTTTTTCACACTTGGAAACTAAAAATATCATAGGCCATTTCCCTTGCTCTTGAAAACTCTGTGAACAAAAATAGATTACAAACAGTACTAGTGGTTGGCTTAACTTGTTCTGGGGGGAGAAAAATGGATGTTCTCACAAAAAGCCAACACAGTCAAATGGGAACAAACAAATGAGAACTCCAGTGTTTTCATTCAAAAGTATTAAATTCCTCTGTAACTCTTCTTCTGTACCCTGTGATCATATATTTCTTCTCAGCGGATGAAACAGAAGCCTGTGGGCCTGTCTTCCAGAGTCCACTTGTAAAAAGCTATCCCCTTGCTCAAGCAAATAAATACTCTGAATGAATCTCCCACATCTTCAGCACTCTTAGGCTCACCCCTGTTGGTCCTCAGCTAGGGGAGAAAACGCCTCGGCGTCACTCGGGTTGTGGAAGCCTTTCCTAAACCAAGCTTTCACTCTTGGAGCCACCCCTGGCTTCACATCATAGCCCTGCCATTTACTAGCTGTCTAACCTTGGAAAAGTCCCTGGGTGGTGCAAACGGTCAGTTCGCATGGCTGCTAACCCAGAGGTTGGAGGTTTGAGTCCGCTCAGAGGCACCTTGGAAGAAAGGCCTGGTGATCTACTTCTGAAAAGTCAGCCATGGAAAACCCTGTAGGGCAGTTCTGCTGTGACACACGTGGGGTCGCCATGAATCAGAATCAGCTCAATGACAATGCGTGGTTTGGTTTAACCTTGGAAGATCCTGTAAAGTTCCCAAATCTGAGTTTCTTCATCTGTAAAATGGGGATGAAAATAGCACCTAGCCCATAAGATTGTTACTGTGAGAAATAAGGTATGTACAGTACCTAGCACCATGCCAGCTACCTAGGACGTACTCAGTAAACGTGAACTGCTGTCAACGGATTTACCACGTGGGCTCCAAAGACCGCCCCAGAGACGACAATTAATATACTTCTTTGTAAAGCAAAGGCATCACTAACCTTGCCCCAAATGATGATGATGGTTATTAATTAAATTCTCTGATACCATCTTTATGTGCCAGAACCTATAACAAGTACCTTAGACCTCACACTGATCCTCATTTTGCCAACTCAGAAACAGACTAGGGTGGGCTAAGCAAACCTACTCAGAGTTCCACAGCTCACAAGTACCAGAGTTGGGCTTCGAACCCAGGCCTGTGTGGCTCTGTAGCCCTGTTTCAAACATTTCACAACGGAAGAAAAGTGACTGCAGACGTAGGAGGTAGAAACAGGGCAGCAGGTGCAGTGGGGAGAGAATGAGGTCGGGAGATGTAGACCGAGTACTACCTAGCAGCTGATATGACCACAAGTGAGTGGTTTAGGCCCCAACTTCCTGCCTGGGTTCAGATAAGATTAATGAATTATGAAACATCATGCTAATTCAAAGAATTACTATCATCTGTCGGAGTAACATAAGAGAGGACGTGAGTCTGACCGGGTATGGTAATCGCGGTGACCAGGCCACCATGTGAGGTCAGAGGACAGAGATTAGGGCTCCCACGGGGAAGGACCAAGCTTGGAGGATAACGTGGTCACCCTGTGGAAAACTGTGAAGTCTAGGGAAAGAATTCAGGATTCATACTCCAAATTCCATTGCTGAAACTTAGCAGGCCCACATTTCAGAATGAACAGCTGGAAAACTTGCCGTATTCAGAGTAAAACATTGTAGAACTCTCTCCACAGAGAAAAGGGTGCAGGGGAAAAAGACAAGCATCTTCAAAAGATGTTTGAATTGGTGATGAGAGTTCCACAGTCTGTTGCTAAGGAAAGAGAAAAGCGTGTTGTGGATACATTCTGAACTTTTCGAGACTGACATCGAAGAAAACAATTCCCCGTATTGCTCTGAGAGATACCATTCGCATAAACAAAACAATTTTTGTGTATGCTGGTATGTATCTGCCAGAGAGCAGTACTTTTGACCTCGTTTTTTTCCCTCCAGAAAAAATAACTTTTTTACTTGTGCAAATATTTGAGTCTATGTTAACCAATTTTTCTACTTGTCAACACTGCTTGTAGATACATATTTTTTTAAATCTACGAAAACCCACTGCCAGTTCCGACTCCTAACAACCCAACAGGACGGAGGAGAGCTTCGGAGCAGCAGCTGGTGGATTCAAACTGCCAACCTTTTGGTCAGCAGCCGAGCTCTTCACCTCTGCACCACCAGGCTCCCAGATGCATATACAGGAGGAGGGGGAAGAACACTTGAATTCTCCCATCCGTACACACACTGGGGTGTTCAGGAAACCATTTTTTCCCAAATTGGAGCCGGTTTGGAGAGAAATGAGAAATGTCAGGCAGTGTAAGAAGTGTACCTTCCGTTATATATACTTTTGGACATTGAGAGTTTTCAGAGCTACATTCCTGAGACAGATGTCATAAATTTTGTGTGTCAAACGATGCATGAAGCTGTTTAGGGCTCGCTAATATGAACGCAACTTTTGCCAAATTTTTGACAAATGGGCATCCGTCCAGAGGGTAAGGCTGGTTCCTGCTGCTCGTTAGAGTTTTATTTGCATTTGTTACCAAGGCTGTGGGGGCCAAAACGAAGAGTCAGGGTCTTGTCAGGGCCTGCCAAGGCTGGGGCCCTGAGCTGAAATGCCGATTCAGAGCTGGAAGGAGCCTTCGTGATCATCCAGGAAAGCGAGGCCTAGAGAGAAGACGTGGCTTGTTCACGATCCTTCAGCTCAGGAAAGGCAGTGCTGGGGGAGAGGCCTTGGGAGCCAGAGAGGCTTGGTTTGGATCCTGCTCTACCGCTCACTGTGACAAGGCTGATTTTACCACGTGAGCAGCAGTGTCTTTGTCTTCAAAGGTGTGGGCTCGCCTCTGCACGTACCGCGTGCGCTTCCGCCCAGGGCTGAGAACTAAGTGAGGGGGTACATGTAGATGCCGCCCCACCCTTACACCTCCTCCCGCCCCTTTTCTGCTCATCAACCCAGAGCCTTTCAGGAGCTCTGGTGGCACAACATGAAGAGGTTGGCTGCTATCAGAAAGGTTGGTGGTTCAAACCCACCCAGCCTCTCAGCGGGAGAAAGACCTGGCGATCTGCCCCGTAAAAGATTACAGCCTAGAAAACCCTATGGGACAGTTCTGCTCTCATCACATAGAGTCACTGTGAGTCAAAGTCGACTGGCAGCACATGACAACAGCATAGGGTCTTCAGAGAAACTGAAAGTAACTTTTTTCTTAGGAAATAAACCCCCCAGTGCCAGTCCCCTGGAGAACACTGCATCGCAACACCGCCCCGCCCATAAGACATTCAGAATACGTTCATTGATTGGACAGATGGCCCAGGAACAAAACGCGCTCGAGGGACAATTCTGGAATCATCGATCACCTGTGCACAGGAGGTGAAGGATGTTTCAAATAGATTCAAATTTCGTGTTTAACCAAAAGGCACTAGCCCTTGAAAGTAAGTTTCTATCCTCCATTCTCAAACTGCATTTAGATTTGCTGCTGAGTGGAAGCAGACAGAATACAGAATACTGCCTGAGTTGAGTTGAGTTGCTGTTGAGTCCATTCTGACTCATGGCGACCCCATGTGTGTCCGAGTAGAACTGTGCTCCATAGGGCTTTCAATGGATGATTTTTTCAGAAGTAGATTGCCAGGCCTTTTTTCTAGGCACCTCTGGGTAGACTCAACCCTCCAACCTTTTGGGTAGCAGCTGAGAGCGTAGGCCTATAAATGCTGTAAACGAAGGCAGTTCAGTCCTTACTGGGGAGAGACGCACAGCAGGACCACTGTGGAATCTTGAGAGGAAAGCTAATGACTGGAAAGGGAAAAAGCCCTTTGTGTGTGTGGCAGAGGGACAGTTCTCTGCTCTCTCTGCCAAGGATCCAGCTCATCCTGGTGGATGCTGCCTGGGGGCTGGAAGGAGGCTACATTTAATATATGATGGGGGGGGGGGTCTTTATCTGTTTACAACTCAGAAGATATTCAAAAAAGGGTTTGGAATACTTCCCTTCCAGTGGAACTCTTGTCGCTTAGGCTCATAAATCCAATGTTAAACCCCCAGGTACGTGCACTGTAATGATACAGCCTGTGGCCTTCCATGATGGGCGGAGCACAGCCTGCATCACCACCCCCACCCCATCCCAAACCCACCTTCTCCATGAAAACCACTTTTCACAGGAAAACAATTGCCAAGTAACTACTTGAATCATGCCGTGGTCAAGGATCCCATTCTCTAAAGGGAGCCCTGCCATTATTCTCCGAAGGAGCAAGTATTGTGTCCAGCAAACAGCATATTAGAAATGTGAACCAGCAGCCAGT